TCGTACTTCCGATTGGTGCACGTGAGAGACAGTCAGCATCAGTGTGTTTGCGTCCTGACTTGTGAATGACTGTAACGTCAAATTCTTGCAGCTGAAGGCTCCAGCGTGCTAGACGACCGGAAGGGTTTTTGAGGTTGGCGAGACAGCATAAAGAATGGTGGCCGCTAACTACCCTGAATGGTCGACCGTATAAATAAGGGCGAAACTTTGTTATAGCCCAAACAACGGCTAAGCATTCTTTTTCTGTTGCAGAGTAGTTTTTCTCTATAGATGATAGTGTTCGACTTGCATAGGCAATCGCGCGCTCTACGCCATTTTGCCATTGAACCAGTACAGCTCCAAGTCCGACGATGCTGGCATCCGTGTGTAGCTCTGTGGCAGCGTTATCGTCAAAGTGACCGAGTACAGGTGAAGCTTGAAGATGGTTTCGTAGCGTGTCAAAGGCTGTGATGCTGATCATGACCCCAAACAAACGGTACGCTGTCTTTCGGAAGTTCGTTTAGCGGTTCAGTGATTTTAGAAAAGCCTTTGATGAAGAGTCTGTAATATGCGCAGAGTCCCAGAAATCGGCGGAGGTCGCGCTTGTTCGTTGGGACAAAAAATGCGGCAACAGCTTTCGTTTTCTCAGGGTCTGGGTGTATACCGGCGTGGCTGACGTGACCAAGAAATTTCAGTTCCTCGAATGCAAAGTGGCATTTCTCAGGTTCGAGAGAAAGTCCAGCTGTTCGAATCGCCTGAAGAACTGCCTGTAAGCGCTGGACGTGCTGCTCAAACGTGCCCGAGAAGACGAGCACATCGTCAAGATAGACAAGACACGATTGCCATTTTAGCCCAGAAAGAACCGTGTCCATCATTCTTTGAAAAGTAGCTGGCGCCGAGCATAAGCCGAAGGGAAGGACCTTGAACTTGTAGAGTCCGCCAGGAGTAATGAAGGCGGTCTTTTCGCGGTCGCGCTCATCAACAGATATTTGCCAATAGCCGCTGTGTAGATCCATGGAAGAAAAGTAACGAGCATTGCGAATGCGGTCCAGCGAGTCGTCTATTCGTGGTAAAGGATACACGTCTTTCTTCGCGATCTTATTCAACTTTCGGTAGTCGACGCAAAATCACAGAGTACCATCTTTTTTCTTTACTAACACAACAGGGGACGCCCAGAGACTGGTTGATGGCTTTTTGACATCGTCCTTGAGCATCTGCTGGACCTGTTGGCGTATAACGTCTTGTTCGTTTTGCGAGACTCTGTAGGCATGCTGTCGAATGGGTCTCTCGGTAGACTCGGTGATGATATGATGCTTGGCAAGCGGTGTTTGGTTAACTTTCGAAGTCGTAGCGAAGCAGTCCCGAAATGAGTCGAGTAGCTTCAAAAGACGTTCCCGTTGTGTAGACGGTAGACCCTGGTTTACGTCGAGAGTGCTTGCAAATGTCATGCCGGAATCGTCGCACGACGAAAGAGCAGATAATGTTGAGGGACCAGGGACGTCTGCAATATCCTCAAGGTATGCGATCGCAGTGTGTTTGGTAAGATGGCGATACTCCTCGCTGAAATTCGTGACTAATAGGCAAGCCTGCTTTCTACTGGGCTGAACAATACCTCGGGCAATGCAGATTTGCTGTGCAAAAAGTAGGGACCAATTTCCTTCTGCAATTACAGCATCGGGGACGTCTTGGTCACATTCAACGTTGATAAAAAGGCTGCTGCGGGGAGGTAGAGTAACAGATTCGGAGGATACACGTAGGGCAGCCTTCGATGAGCGGGCGTTTTCCGGTTCAGGATGAAACGGGTCCTCGAACGACACCTTCAAGTCTCGTAGGTCAATAATTGCGCCGTGTTCGCGAAGAAAGTCCAGCCTCAGAATGAGTGGACGGGAGCACACAGGTAATACGAGGAAAGACCCTGTGAACATCAAAGCACGGACTCGAACACGGGCTGTGCACATTCCAGTCGGCGTGACGAGGTGGCCCCCTGCCATGCGCAATGGTGGTCCTCGCAAAGGGGTAGTTACCTTCCTCAGTTGGGATGCTAGGGTGCTGCTCATAACCGAATAATCGGCGCCGGTGTCAACAAGGGCAGTGACGACGTGATTATCGACGTGTACGGTGATGTCGGCGGAAACAGTCTTATGACTTTCGGAAACGACTGGAAAGTCAGAACGGTCTTCGTCGGGTTTTTGCGTCGAAGGAGGCTCTTTGACAGTTCGTTGGGACGCGGCTTAACCCCCAGAAACGCCCCCGTAAGGTGCGCTTCACCCCCTTCACCCCCGTAAGGTACGCTTCGATGTCGCGGGGACGCTCACCGTATTGCGGGCACCGAGCATCAGGGTGAAAGCCACGGAGACCAAGTTGGCGGTACTGGCAATTACGGTAGACGTGACCCGCTTCGCCATAGTGGTATCAGAGTGGACGGTTATCTGACGTACGCCACATGCTGGCCTTTGTGGCGTTCTGCCGCGATCCAGACGGACGCGATAAGTTGGTGCACTCGGAAAGCTTGAGGCGAGTGGCGGAGTCGAAGAGGTGCCCTGGAATCGATGGCTAGCCTGATCCATTGTCCCCATGGTGGGATCAGGGCCATGTGGTGCAGGAGATCGCAGAGCCGCCGCATAAGTCAGCACAAGGGCCTCGGGCCTTGTTGGCGTGAGTGGGGTGACCACCTGTCGGATCTCATTTCGGATTAAGTCTGCGAGAGCACTTATGGGTGGTTGGGGTCCCGCTGCTTGGAGTTGGCGCAGCTCGTCCCGTACGACGCTTCTTATGAACTCTGCGAGGGCATGCCTCTCGCTGTCAGCCCCGATAAAGCATGCAGCAGGGGTCACGTCGTGGCGTTCATACTGTGACGACCGATACTGGAGAGTACGCTCCATTGTGGTTGCCTCATTTATGAACTCTGCCACAGTCGTCGGTGGATTGCGCACGAGTCCGGCGAAGAGCTGCTCTTTTACCCCACGCATTAAATGCCGAAACTTCTTTTCCTCAGACATTTCAGGGTCAGCACGCTTGAAGAGTCGAAGCATGTTCTTGACAAACATCGAAACTCTCTCGTTCGGTCGTTGGTTCCGAGACAAGATAGCCTGCTCCGCTCTCTCTTTCCTTTCAGTGCTGCGGTACGCGTCACGAAACTGTCGGCGGAACTCATGCCACGTCGCAAAGGAACCCTCGTGATTCTCGTACCACGTTTTGGCAGACTCTTCTAACGCAAAGTGAACTCTCCGCAGCTTGCGAGCTTCATCCCATTCGTTGATGTTGGCAACTCGATTGAAGTGGTCAAGCCAGTCGTCAACATCTTCATAAATGTCTCCATGAAATGAACGTAGTGTTTGCGGCACATAAAAAACATGCGGGAGAAAAGAATAGGCGTCGTTGGTTTGACTCGCCTGGTTGTTAGTTGAAGTTGCCATCTCGTCTTGAGAGAGGGGACTGTATTCGGGAGATAGTCCTCGTAGGCGGCGACTGCTTCTTGTCATGGGAGCTGTAGCTGTCTCCAAGTAGCTCGGTGTGTCGGCTGAAAATCTGCAGCCGAGACGCATTTACCCAGCACCTCCACCAGTGCCGCGATCGTAATAACAGACAGCGATAAAAGCCCTCTTCTTTCTTCGCTTCCAAGGGATTCCACCTATAATTGATGGCTCGTACCCATTACCTGTGACAATATTTATTTTTGTCTTGAAGTTGCGCTGTTCCTGCCATGGTCCGATAGATATTCGGTACCATCGCCTGGCCAGCGGGCGTGCGCCTGGTCGAACAAGCCTTGCAAGGAAGCCGAATTGGCACTGAACCTCATGGTGAAAAAAATGGTGGGAAGTGGGGTGATGGTGTAGCGGTTAAAAAAGTTCTTGACTTTGGTCTTAATGAGGTTCTTTGCCACATTACACCGGAGCTCTGCGGAAAAGCGTAATGAGATTTAGGAGGGGCTGTTAGCTTTAGTGTCACACTGTACACTTTGCCCATGTACTCTTGTGTTTGTACGTCGCATAATTCTGAGTACCAGTATAATCATTGAGGTCGAAATAAGCTACTGGCCATCATTTGAAGCAGTGTATAACATTTTTGTTTCCCTAAATAAAAAATTAAATGTGCACTAGTTTTTTTTTCCACCGCGACTCCCAGGTTTTACGAATATCCAATATTTCAAGGTCGGGAGCTCGGCAGATTGATAATAAATTAGCATAGTCTGTCAAATGATTTGACAGGCAAAGCAATTGCTAATATGGACTTTATCATTTGTTTGCTCAATGGGGTGGCTCAAAATACTACTTTCATTGAAATAAGAGTGCCACAATGCACGATTTAGGTGATGTTGAATGGTTTATACATGTATTTTTCTAAATGTAAGCCTTGTTTATACTGCTCCAAATTTGATATTTTGTGATAAAATAAAATATGCAGGTTTTTTTCCCCCGTAACCTGCTCCAAATTTGGAATTTAGTGCTCCAAAAGTAACATTTTGCTGCTCTAAAAATTGCTCCAAGTTGTATTTTGACTGTTGCGCCCATTTATAGAGTAAACTAGCTATAGATGTGTAAACAATATTATGTTGTTGTGTTGGCATCCATAGGGAAGCAGAGTGACGATGAAAATGCCATTCAGTCTTCTCAAATGTACCCTTTCCGTAGGAGAGCTTCTTCCAAATTTCTTTCACCAGCACATATGCATGACTCCGGCTTGCGGCAGGTTTGTTCGAGCTCATTAGCGCCGAGGAGCAAACTTTAATTTCTCGCCTGCTTTTTAAAAAAATGCTCTTGCATTAAAAAAAGCTTGCTTTGCTCTTGGTGGCAGCAGCCATAATTCCACATATGCTGCTGTCAGTTGTGGGCCTTCAGAAAAGAAAGCGAAGTAAGCGAAGTTAGGAATGCAGTCTCCTGTTCCAAGCATTTTCGTACACTCGTGCATTTCGGACACTTGAGTCTTTTTGGAAACTGATTGGGGGGGCTTATGAAACTTTGCACTTCGTGAAACTTTTTTGTCCCCTTAAAGGCTCACGTGTCGTGTTTGTCTGCTTGCAGGAAGTGGAGCCCATGTACAAGGAGAGTGACCACATCCATGTTATCTCGCTCACGCGCAACCTGGGCGTCGGCGTGCGCATCGAGTACATGGACCGCAACCTCAGCGGCAAGGTCAACACCCACGACTTTCCCGAAGACTGCGAACCTCGCTTCCATCTGCTGTATAGGCCGGGACATTACGACATTCTGTACCTCTCGTGACTCGCGACCATTTCTGTCTGGGGGCGTCTCGTCATCCTTTTTTTTTTTCATTGTTTTTCTTGGGGAGAAAGAAGGAAAGGGGTGGGCAAAAGTTTGCGTGTGATCGCGGCCCGCATTTCATTCACCTACAGCTTTTACAAGCATTTCCGAAATTCTGGAGAAGAAAGACATTTCTTGTGTTCAGCATTTCCTGTCTCTGTTGCAGAATATTTTGCTCGCCCTACTGATGAGTTGTGGTGCTGAAATGAAGTAGAGATGAATATTTTGAGGCGTTGCTGAGGAATTCGTGTATCAAGTGAAATGCAAAGCCTGCTGTGAGTTGAAACAGCTGAGCTATATTTTTGCTGTGCCAGGTTTTGTGCCAGAACACTCGCTTTGGTGATTGTGAAGGTCATTCCTGCATCGGCATGAATGAGGGCTCAAAATGTTTCACCATGACAGTGCACCTCATATCCAATTAGCTCCACTGCTGACTAGCCTCTTCTTTTCAAAAGCACGAATCACCGGCTCCGTACCCATGAAGGAAAATAATTTGTTTGCCAAGCTTAGCTGTGTTCTCAAACCTTCTGACGACTGTTGGGAAAGACCATGGGAGCATCCTGTGCCCCACGATGCCCTTGTACTTAGGTCCCTCATATAAATTGTACTTTTGCGACGTTCTAAAACAGCGGATGGGAAGAAAAATTGATGCTGAAATGCAATGTCGTGTCTTGTACTGAGACTATGTAAGCAACCCCAATGCTAGGAAAGAGCGACTATTGGGTTTTTTCATTGCTTGGCAGCTTCGAACGGCTTGGATTGGACACTGTTTAGGAGCCATCTTCTCGTGAATGTTTTATGATGGAAATTCAGATGAGTTTGCAACCACTTCGCCACCCAAAACCTAATTTATAAATCCATTTTCATGTTTAATTTATGACAAACAGTGAAGATTAGCTTGTGAATGTTCTTTACAGCCTGACTGTGGCTTCACAGAGAGACATGCAGGATCGTAGCGTGCAATTGTATCACTCCACTCCCGTTTCCCGTTTCAGCTACAACTCTCATGAAGAATAACTTGAGAGTGTGGAAACGGCTTTCTAATTGGCTCATTGCTGTGTAAAGCCATCAAAATGTGTGGCTCTTACTGCATTATCTGAATGTTGCTGGAAGGTAATTCTGTTGACACATTTGGAGTCTTGCGTTTTCTTTTCCTTCTCACTTTGAACTGCGAAACCTTGGAAAGCTTTTTTTTTTTTTTGAAACCTGTAGACACTCATTGATTAAATTTAACAATTTAGGGGTGACTTGTTCGAAGCAACGGCATAATGCATCGGAAAGTAGCAAAAGATGATTGATACATTAAGTGTTGTTTTGGGATGAGAATTTCGTGCTCAGAAAAAGTTCCCATGAAAACGCCCATTTGCAGCCTTACCCTGTTGTGATCAAAGCAGTTGTAAGCTGCCAAATTAAGTTCCTCCATGGTTGTCCGTAGCAGCTTGATATTATAAGATTTGAAAACATGCCAAAAACGTTTTATTGGTGCAACATTTGACCTGAAAGTCTGGATTAACCAATTGGCTGACTTCCGCATCTCTTCCGACCGTTTTTTTGCTATAGCTAGCGGGTACGCCGCTGTACACTGTCACACTTTCACTGTCACACTTCAATATCAGATGCTTGGAAGAGCTCGTTCCATACTTGAGTTTTGAAAACTTGCAGAAATCGCAAGAGTTTGTGCTGCAGTCTGTGTTGTCTGACAATGGTTAAGGTGAGCGACATTATTCTGGCATGAATGCTTTGCACAGCAACTGTTTCATTAATTTTGGCCTTACCGTGGGGAGCTTGCATCTTTTTGCGAGTGTTCGTAAGAGTGCATATTCCAGTGCGACATGAAGAGATTGCTCGGCCTATTTGAGGCGTTAAATGTTTTACTGGTTGTGCCAGAAGGGAGACGTTAACTTTGTGTAATTTAATTTTTTCTGATTTTTTTCTGTGCTCTATGAAAAGCCTTTGTTAACTTGTGTTTCAATAAAGAGAGGGCTTTTTTTGCACTAAGTACTTGTCTAGGGGCTTCAAGGACCTCAGCTTGCTTGATCGCTGCTTGTGTCAAACAGTGGTTCATCAGCCGTAAGGAACACCTGGCTGAATGGAGTAATGATGCAGGTGATAAATTGAAATTGATGTCTGAGCAGCCTGTCAGTGGAACACAAGGGGTGAGTGGTACACACAGAAAGGCAAGCACTAGAAACGCTTTAGAGTGTTGCAAAACTGCTGAAGCCTCGAAAGGTGCCCGGTATATACATGTATGAAATTAAAACTCATGTACAGTGTTCAGGGACTGAAGTTCAACAGTTACTTCAAGCATCTGCTCATACTTAGACTAGAAGTTTTGATGTCTTGTTTGAATCCATGATACACGTGCAGTGAAGGTTGGCTTGTTGGTCTTGTTCTGTAGTATCTCTTAATCATTTTTCCCATGCCATTTGAGTGGTCACCGCGACGTATTGGATCCTATGCACAGTGTTAAACAGAGTTCTTGCCAGTAATTTGGCGTTGCGGGAGTTATTTTCCGTGATAGTGCACTAAGGTTAGTATGAGTGGGCAATTAAAGCACCAGTTGTGCGACTAATGCGGTGCCACATGGCGGAGATGCGAGTGCGATACCTGAATCTTACAGGCATCATGTTAATTTAGCTGTATTGCTTTCTTGTTCTTTAAAATTCGACAGTATATATTAAGAAACCGTTACATTGGGCTTAAGGGTAAATGCTGGAGGACTATGCACTTGAATTCAGGTGCATTTTAGAGAAACCACAGGTGGCCAAATTTTTCAAAGCTCTTCAACACGACGTGCCTCGTAATCGTATAACCTTAGTTATACAATTACGAGGTACGTAATTGTATAACTAAGGTTATACAATTACGTACCTCGTAATTGTATAACCTTACGTACCTCGTAATTGTATAACTCACCTTAGTAATCGTATAACTAAGGTTATACGATTACTAAGGTGAGTTATTGTTATATGATGAGGCACACACCACATTCATCTGATGCCGCCAGAGATACTGGAATTGTAAAGCCTAGAACAACTTATTCATTCCAGATAACTCAAGTTTACGATCCGAGCGTTTTTTTTCCTCAAGGAAAGATAGCACACGAATTCAATAAATGCGTGTCCCTTATAAGGCTATAAAATGCAAAATACAATGAGTTCAGCAAAGTCTTATTGAACTCAATTTATTGAATGCTACAACAAACATTGGAAGTCATTTTTGTTCACGCGGTATCAAAACTACTTCACCGTGAACGTTGTGGACGCAGTCCTTCAAGATATCGTCCTCATGGAAGTGGAGGTAGCACACAGCGCAAGGTCTTGATAGTTCCTTATCCAGTCTCTCTATTGCTCGTTTCCACTGTTGAATACCCACCTCATTAGGCAAGGTTCTTTTTGGGGTTGCATAAATGGTTGCCAGACTGAAAGGGCGGTTGTTGCAAACTGCCGCTAAATTTGGCTGAACATTTTTTTTTGTAGTTGTGGCTTCTCCGTAAGAGTTTGGTGCTATCCGCGGTGCTTTTTGCGAGTGCATGAGTGACGCTGGCCCTTTTAATTAACAGAATGAACCGAGCCTAGCAGAAGTCGAGCGCGGCGCTGCCGTGTAATTAAGAGGCCGTTTTAATTAACGGAATGAACCGCGCATTAGAAAATTCATTTTATTTACGGAATGAACCGCGCCTAGCAGAAGTCGAGCGTGGGGCTGCCGTGCAATTAGGAGGCCAATTTAATTAACGGAATAAACCGCGCCTAGCAGAAGTCGAGCGCGGCACTGCTGTGCAATTAAGAGGCCGTTTTAATTAACGGAATGAACCGTCCATTACAGAAGTCGAGGCGCGTTCTCTTGCTGTGTGCGCAGCTGTGCGATTAAGATATCGCGTCTCAGTATTAGGGATGACGGGGAAAACTGAATAGAGTCGCAGGAGGTGATGCGCTGCCCCCCTCCCCCTTACTTTTCTTTTTTTTCCTCTCAGCTGATCGTGTCGCGTCGACCGCGCGCTACGACCGGGGGACGCTACGCTTCCCCTAGCTGTGTCAGCACAAGACATATCGTTCGGACTCGTATATACATGTGATGAATAAGCGTTCGAAGGCTGGTTAATTAGGGTACGTCGGATATGCTACAGCTATGCACGCCTGGACTCGCGAAATGCACCGCGGATAGCACCAAACACTTACAGAAAAGCCACAACTACAAAAAAAAAATTTCAGCCAAATTTAGCGCAGTCTGGCAACAACCACCCCAAAGTCTGGCAACACATTTATGCAACGCCAAAAGGAACCTTGCCCCTCATCAACGGGTGGCTTGAAAAAAAAAAAAAAAGCCTTTTTTCGGTCGCAGATTTCGTTGAGTCGTAGCCGCTTCGGTAACCAGTGACAAATGAGCGAGGCATGTTTTATAACATCGAGAAACCGTCACACGACGCTTGAGAGCTATGCAGCTAACAAATGGCACGATAACGGAACAGAGCTGGTAGCACGTGAGACACCACGTCAATTGTCACCATGATATCGCCGTAAACAGCAGTGGAACACAAACTGCGCGAGTGTCGTCGATCTCGCTGAGACACACAATAATAGCGATTGCCACGGAACACACTTGCACTATACGTGCACGCTTCGAAGAGGCACTTTCTGTTTTCTTCACCGGCATGGTCGGTGGCGTGCGCCTAACCGCCGTGAGCCTCGTCAGACCGTTCGATGGATGGATGGATGGATGTGGCTGTACCCTTTAGATCGGGCGGCGGCTAACGTCACCTATCCAGACAACACTCGATGTCCTGAGATTGTACCTCATATGGTACAATCGTCCTCGCACAGTTCTCATTGACCTTAGTACTTACTGAGGACGACACAAGCTGGTTTTACCCAGAAACGTCTTTTCGAGTGCTTTCTGAGGACAACAATTGGTCTGGAAAAGGTCCTGTCAAGGACCTTTTGGGGATGACAGAACATTGCACTGAGCACTTAGATATAATTCCTCAAGACCTTTGCGCACCAAATAGATGCATTTCATATGTGAAAACTTTCTTTACACGTTCGTTTCATACAGTCATAAAGTTATTGTATATTTTCACCTCGTTTGTTTCTTTTTTGGCAGAAAAATTTTAAATTAGGCGTTTCGCTTAAAGAAACACGCGTAAATAATTGGCTTAGGTATCGAACCTGGTATTGCGAAATGTCCATTTGAAACAGTGTGTTCCCAAATGTCACTGCCTTAAATTAGTCATTAAACGCCACTGTAGCACGTAATAACAAACTAGCAGCTGGCAACCACTGACTATGCGGCGCCATTTTAGATAGTCAAGTAGCCAAGCCATTCCAAGCCAACTGACGTCAAAATGGCAGCGGCGGCCCTGTCAGGGGAGGTGGAGTGTATTGGTGGAAGTTCGTGGCCTTTGTTGTTTGTGTGCATGGTTAAAAGTGAGATATGTGTGAATCGTAGGTGATGACGCCTGGTAAATTGCCGTGTTGATGGGTGCACTGGGCTGCACAACGTTTTGACTGATCATGCATGCATTGTCACCAGTCGACCGCGGCAAGGTGTGGTTCGAAGCTGCCTGGAACACCAGATATCAATTGTGCTTCGAAGCAGCATGGTCCCAACGTGGAGGGATCTACTTCTGCATCTGACACATGGCCTGACCTCGGGCAAGTCAAGTCAACGCCCGTGTCGAGTGTACTGATTGATAGGCTGTCAGAGCGGAGCCTCTAACACTAATGAGTGCATCGGGCGCGATACACGTGGTGATGAAGACACTGTGTCAAACTTTCGAGGAAGATTACAAACGTAGTTGATTGACCTGTGTTGACTGCCTTGATACTGCTTTTCTTTTTTCAGACTATACGCCGACTCGAATGCCTGACAAAACTGTCAGTTGTGATTAATTACTGTTAAATAAATTTCAATCAACAAGCTTTGTTTTGTCACCTGACTGTTGATTAATACAGTATATATACACGAGACCTCGCAGGTGTTTTTCTTTTGATGTATGGAAATATCATGAAAAGAAGTAAATCTTAAGTAGTATCACTGCCCACAGTACCGAACCGGAACACAATCGTTGTTCTGAAAAGATACTGAAAAAGTCCTGAAGTGTTGTATTGAGGATGTGCTGAGGTTGTTATGTGTACGGACAAAGGGACGGGATTAGTGCCATTCTAGTACCATAAGAGGACATTCTGAGGGCGTCATATTGTCCTCACGAAAGCATACTGAGGACGTCCTGAGGTTGTGTTTGTGTTGTCTGGGTAGCCGTAATACTTAGTGAACGAACCATTAGATTTATCTTTCTTTTTTCCTTTAAATAGTGAGGTTGAGGATTTGTACTTTGCAGTGAAGGGTTTAATTTTCATTCGTGCCTTGACTTGAGCCCCCAATCAGATAACCTCCTTTTAGTTAAGTCTACCCGCTTAAAGTCTATTTTGCCCTCCCTGTCCCTAAACCCCAGTGCTTTGAAAAACTCTGCGCCATCATCCTGAACTATAGGGTGAAGCCCTTTACAGAACATTATCAAGTGTTCGGCAGTTTCTTCTTCCTCTCCACACGCACTGCATACTGTGTCTACCCCTTTGTATTTGGCCCGATTTGTCTTGGTTTGCAACACTCCCATCCTAGCCTCAACAGTAGAGAACTGACTACCCGAGTATTATCATAGATCCTTTCCTTGGCAATTTCCTGCTTAAAAGTTCGATAGATCTCTAGTGCAGACTTCTTAATCATGCCAATTCTCCACATGTCAGTCTCCATTTCCTCCACTTTCTTCTTAACCAATAGTTCTTTTTGGTTTGACCACCTGCTGTTTTCTAAGTATTTACCAGTCAATTTCCTGGTTCGATTCCTCCATTTTGTATCGACATTCTTCATGTACAAGTAGCTGAAAACCTTCCTAGCCCAACGCTCCTCCCCCATTCCTCTCAATCGCTTCTCAAATTTTATCTTGCTGCTAGCTTCCCTGCCCTCAAATGATGTCCATCCCATATCACCTTGTACTCCCT